GTATTATAGATATATGTTTTTGTGTTTAATCATAACATGTAGAGATGCATCAAAACACAGGCATATTCTAAACTGCCCTTTGCTTTGAATACTATAAGGGCTATTGTTTTGTATCAGCCTTCTTCAAAGCCAAAGATAACATGATTAGCATGATTCGGTTTTGTGAGAAAAAGCTGAAAGTTCAATAACATCAACAGGAAAAAGATATGTTATCCACCCTAATCTACCTGCCTACAGAACAGTAAGAAGTTGATCCCAGCGAAAATATCATGCCTCACTTAGTAAAGCAAGGTTGGTTCTGACGGAACTGGACGACATATAAAATGATATCAGGCACTGGACACGACGTCATCCACGATCACCAAACAGGGCAACTGTGTGGTGAAATGAATCACAAAATTGCCTACTCGGAGATATCATTGATCTAGGAAGTAAGATAACGGTAATGATGCATCTGCACTCTCATCTCATACCATCATTTTTATTGAGAGATAATCAAAGCTTTGAAAACCATGGATACGATAACGCTGTGTGGAAATTACTACAATGATAAATATAGTGTGACGCGCATGGTATGTGAGCAGCGAGATAACTTCAAGCAGAAGTAACCAAACCCCTCCAATCACTTTGGTGATGTATCTCCATAAATGACACTATGTACCTGATTCAGGTCTACCAAAATGCAACATGAGACGTGAAGCACGAGAGGTAAACAGTCAAAGCAGTATGTATGATTTCGACGGTGGGATTCCAGCAGAGCAACATTGCTTGTGATTCCAATGCACCAGCACTTACCAGTGGTGAGATAAATGGGTACAGCAGTCCCTTCAAGAAATGACTGTTAAATCCTAATACAGCTGCCAGTTCATAGAAAATCACCACGGATGGTGCACCTTGGGGGCCCATAGCAAACAACCAAAGCCAGACTGCCTTCTTATGTGTGGCTACCTGCTTACAAAGAATATGGAATCATCAAAGGGTAGCAACGGCCTCCAGATAACGGTATTCGATGAAGTTACTGAGTGACAGTCAGTTAAATACAACCATCCTACCCAGACCTGCCAAGTTAAAGCTAACTTTGAACTAATAACCGAAGTGCTGACACAAAAGCAGCATTTGAAAATAGTGAACAAGCACCTGAGACATAATAAAACCTTCACCAACTATTTGGTCCTTGTGACTACTGCAACTCTCGAAACAGACCTCGATGAATAAAAAGAGACACCAAGCACTTCCTCAAAAGGAAGAGAAGAGTACTATACTATGTGAAAATCTCAGGGAGGCCGTCGGATAACACAACACACCCAGCCCTAAGGAATCGTTTCGAAATACGAATTGGAAGGCATATAGAAATACTTTTAGAAAAGCCGTTTAGGGAACGTGTAAACATGCTCAAGGAATGTGCAACAATTCATCGATATAAAGATAAGCTGCATCTTCATTCTCCCAGTTACTTCTAATTGAAGGATAAAATAAAGTGAATTATCCTGATTAAATCAGGACCTTTGATTATAATCTCACCTTGGGATAAAACTGGCAGAAATGCGCATCGCAATGCAGAAACAAAAGTGTGTTATAATTTCGTTTTTCTTAATGTTTGTTCTCCATAGGCTAGTTTGGTGGGTAGAGTGAGCAGTGCTCCATCATCTGATATTGCCTACTATCGGGAGAGCAGATTTTCTATACTTTGCCATGCATTCACAACTCTCCGAAATCATATGCAAGTATAGTTCCAAAAAACCTTAAGTTTTGTAAATTATTGTCGAAAAAATACTTCATATTGATACACGCATTTCCATGAAATTCTTTATTCAGTTGCTACAACATTTAAACCTTTAAAGACTCCTTCATAAAATTAAGCTTACGTAGTATAAATGTGAAGCAACAGCTGTTTTTCACCACTCACATTGAACTCAAGCCCTTTCAAAGTCAAACTAAACTCAAAAGAAGAGAGGGATGTTGTTCTAAGCAACTCTCAAACTCCTAAAGGATCAGGCATATGTGTCCGTGCCGACTTAAGGATAGCTGCCTGGTCACAAGAAAGTCTGCGGCCTTAGAATTAAGCGAACGACGCCAAAATGGCGAAAAGAACCTTAAGATTAAGAGTTTTCGGGTTGTCCGAGTTCGCAGTTTGTATATTCCGAAACCTCTGTGGGTAGGCGGGGGAAGCACCGAACTAAAATGACAGTTTGCTACACAAGCGCCCGCAGCCTGCTGAACAAACGGACTGAGGTGATGAACATGATAGACCCGGAAACCCGGATGTAATTATCATCACAGAGACATGCCTCACATCCGATGTCACTGACAACGAAGTTAACCTGCCAAACTTCGAAGTACATCGAGTGGGCTGACTAAACCGCAAAGGAGGTGGCGTAGACATCTGCCTCAAGAAATGCCTAACCGTGCACTCGCTCACGAAATTGAGTCATGCGAACTTTAACACTGCAGGCTTAAATGCATAGGCCAAGAAATTGACCTCATTGCTATGTACCGCAGCCCTGACCACAGTGCAGATGATTTCCTTATAGAGAAGCTAGGCTCCTGAACTTCAAAATGTCTAAGTCTCATAGTAGGTGACTTCAACGCCCCAACAATTGACTGGACGAGCCCAACAACTCCATCTTCAGTCAACAATTTTGATCATAAACTGCTGGAGTCTAGTATATCTAGTATGACCCTAGTGCTATGACTCACAACACTCCTCCTCAACTCTGGATCTAGTGTTCTCCCACGGTGAGAATGTGGATCTTATACATCTTCCTCCTTTAGGAAGAAGTGACCATGCTGTGCTCATTTTCAAGTTCACAGCGACGGCAGCAAGGACCAAAACCCCAGCTGGACCAAACGTTTGAAAAGCTGATATAAATGCAATCGTCTCAGTGGCCAACCCAGTGAACTGGTACATCAACCCAGAGTCCCGAGTGGAAGCCGCATGGAACCAATTTAAACAACTTTACGCCCAAGTAACTGAACCTTTCATCCCTTGGTCTGTCTCAAAGGGTCAGAAACATTGCCCTTCTTGGATAAACCGAGAGATTCGTAAGTCACTCAGACGTAAACACAAATGTTGGAACCTGTTTACCACACTTGAGACTTCTGAGACCAGGAAATTATACAACACTGCTAGAAATAAAGCTATTGCAGAAATCCTCTAATCAAGGATGGTGTTCGAGCACACCTGGCTCAAAATGCAAGGACACAACTTAAGAAAAATTTCTCGTACATTAACTTCAGGAATAAAACATCCAATGGTGTCCCAAACCTGACTATTGACAATGAAACAATCGAAGAATATCAATAAAAAGCAGAAGCAATGGCAGGCTACTTCTCCCAAGTCTTCACTCAGGGGTCATCACTCCCTACAGGATCAGCTCTGGCTGCATCTGTGGAATATGGGATAGATTCCGTTGACATCGACCAAGGCATCGTGCTCAACTGCTGAGGGAAACTAGATTCAGGGAAATCAATGGGTCCTGATAATCTTCATCTAAGGCTTCTCAAGGAGCTATCAGCTCACATAGCCGGTCCTTTGACCGCGATCTTCAAGTTATCTCTACTACATGGAGTGTTACCACGTGACTGGAAAGACGCCATAGTAACACCTATCCACAAAGGAGGGTCAAGGCAAAGCCCTTCAAATTACAGGCCTATCAGTCTCACCAGCACTTTATTCAAGATACCGGAAAGAATCATCAAGAAAAGTACCATGGCATATCTGCAAAACGACGATTCGTTGTCCAGAGTACAGCATGGCTTCCGAAGAAACCTCTCATACCTACAAAAGAAAGCTGGGTCAAATCAAGGGACAAAAGTAGACCTATTGACGTCGTCTTCTTAGACTTTAGCAAAGCCTTTGATAAAGTACCTCACAAAAGACTACTCATGAAGTTAGAAAGTCTTGGTATCAAAGGCAGATTACTAAACTGGCTCAGGGAATTCCTCATAGATAGGAGCCAAAGGGTTATGATCAACTCGAAACTCTCCTCTTGGACAGCAGTGCGTAGCGGAGTGCCACAAGGCACGGTACTCGGACCTCTCCTATTTATTTTGTATATCAATGAGTTATCTCTGCTCACCGGCTCCCCTATGGTCCTATACGCAAATGACTTAAAATTTTTTAGAGAGATGAAGGGCAACAGTGATACGTCCACGTTTCAAAAGAATCTCAACATATTGTCAGAGTGATCCATAGAATGGATGCTTCCGATAAATGTGGCAAAATGTGCAACCATGGTGATTGGACAAGCAAGCACAAACTCCTACGAACTAGAGAGAATAACACTTCCTTCAGTTCAGACTCACTTCGACTTAGGCGTCAAAGTTAGCCACGACTTAAAAACGGCAGCTTACCGTTGCTCGGTGGCTGCACGTAGCCTCAGGTCCTTATGGGCAATTAGCATAGCCTTTACTAGAAACACCGCAGATATGGTCACCTCCTCATATACATCTCTGGTGAGGTCAAGACTGGAAAACTCATCCAGGCCGCCAGTCCTTGTCTAAAAGGGGACCCACTCACACATTCTAGAAGGGATCCAAAAGAAGGCAGCACATATGGTTCTAGACATGGCTAACTTATCATACGAGGAAAGACTAGGCAGTTTAAATCTCTTCTCCCTGTCATACCGTAGGTAGAGAGGAGATTTAATAACAATGTTTAAATTTTTAAACAATAACTACGGACCTGACCTATTCTCTCTTTTCCTTCCCATCAGGTCGGAACACCTTGGAGGACATAGCAGGAAAGTTCAAAAGTCAAGAAGATATCATATTACTGCTGATTTCTGATTCTCACACCGAGTCATAAACTCTTGGAACCGACTCTCGGAAGAAGAGGTGTCTGCAACCTCAACTGATTCGTTCGAAAAGGGTTTAAACAGCGACAGAAATTCACTAGAAAAGGATTAACGTAGACACCAAGCCTTCTATCCTCAACCAACTAATCTGAAATGTGAATGAAGCTTGTCAGTGATTGAATAATGAATGTTCTGAAAGTTTGACCGCACTTTATGAAACTTAATGATTTTTCGACAGTGTGGGGGTGTTTTTGTTTTTGGAAGGCTTAAAAGGTGTTCAGTAGCTTCAATTTTCAAAAATCAGTAATTTTGTGGCTTTTGACACTAATTTCGTCAGCTTACAGTTTTCTACATGGAGTAAGGAAAGTCGTATAGAATATATCAGAAGATATTTCCATCGATCATCACGTGAGTTAATTAGCTTTCCCTAACCCACCTCAGAGCTTCTAGAAGTCGTTCAGTTCAATCTGGCTGACATAGGGGAAGGTATACGGGAAGTAGTTATAAAGGAGTGGTAATTTAGTAAAACCTTTATAAAATAATATATAAAATCCGTTTACATATCAGTTTAGTAAATTTGCGCTAAATCGATGTCTTGATGCGTATTTAAAGAAAGCAAATCGTTTTGTGGGTAATAAAATGGGTATATATAAATCTTGATTTCAATTAACTTCTTAAACCACCATTCAGTATTGGAAATACTAAATTTTGAGATATCGTCCAGCATCCCGTGGTCGTTCGAATTTTGAGTGATTTCCAAAAATTGCGGTGAAAGCTAACAAATCTTGGGAATAACTGGGGAGCAATGCCTAGATCTGATATTTCTTAAATGTTCTCCAGTTTCTGCCTGCATTTTGATTCATCAAAATACTTTTGAAAGAAAAAATGCTGAAGTTTCCCCCGTTATACGCATCATGATTCTTTCCCTCTCTTTCAGTCACTATTCGTGCCTACCACTCAATTACATGATGTTTTTTGAACAGCGTTTCTCCAATATTCTTAGTACATTAAAGAAATGGGCATAATGTTTGAATGTTTTCTCAGATCTCCGTTCATTCAGCCTGAGGAAGTTTTGTTAATAGTCTGCTTTGTAGTTTGAGACAATGGTAGCACTGGTCATAATATTCATTATTTTAGACAGATTCATCATCAAAAGACTGAATCAATTCAGTATTTACAATTTTAATTTGTATTTACATGTTAACATGCAAATACAAATTAGGCAGACATCACAGGCAACAATCTTTCTCCAATTTCATACTAGACCTACACTAACACTGAAGCCTTCAGAGTTCTACCTAGAGTTTGGTATTGTAGTAGTGGAGAAGTAGTGATAATGGTGTTTAGAAACATGATCACCTAACTTGTCATGTAAGTTAGAGGTTAGGGGCAAAAAATACTGTTACAGCTCAACAGAAGTTCTACTGATAAAAACCTCGATGAACTTAAATTAAATGTGCCTTAAATACATAAATAAACCAGTGACTTTGGAGCGCCCAGTCAAAACAGGGTGGCGAAAACAGGTAAAGAACACTGTATTCATAGGAAAAAATGTTTAATAAAGTGCAGTGATATTAAGCAGGATATTTGGTTGGTTCTAGGTTAGATTTAGACCAAGGACAGGTCAAGGAAGATAAATCTTGTTAGGAAAATATTAGGGTTGGTTATGGGTAAACTGCCACTAGATTTAGGAAAGATTAGGATTAAAGTTCATTAGGAGGACCTGATTTACCTTTCAGTTCCCATTAAAATGATCTCTTTCACGTCACCCTCAGTCGCACAACTCATCACTCTCCATTCTCACAACCCTTGAAGGCCTGGAGTACAGTACCATCCAAAAGCATTCTAAGCGTATGTACAACTTTTCATTTCTTTCTGCTTATTTTTCGGGAAATAGGTTCTTAGTTGATTCACCACACTGCTAGAGTTTCTCGTTGTCCTCTTGTCCTTTTCGACCGGACATCTCATATTCACAATCGAACCAGTGAAAGCAGATGGTGCTGGCAGTTTGTAGTCTAGATATGATACACAAGATTTGTAGCTCAGGTGGATGATTTTGAGGTGGTTGTGTTCTCTGAGCTGGATAGTTGGCTTGCGCATTAACGTGAAATTACTGCTAAGAATTTGAATAACCCCCCTTGTACTAAGTACTGTAAACCTTCACACTGATTTAAGAGTAATGGCAGCCTGCCTTGCTTTTTTGATTAGATACCGGGTGGCTGTGACATTTTCATCAGTGGCACCCACATTTGAAACAGTCACTACTGCTGAGTCTATTGAAAGAGACGAGCTCCTTTACATTCTTCTTGCTGATAGTGATTGATTCTTGTTGTTTGGGTGTCTTCGCACTTCTGTCTTCTATATCTAGAGTTCTATCCTGCTCACCTCTTTCTCCAGGTTTAGTTTCCATGTGTGTATCTACGAGTTTGTGTAACGCGAGACAAGAGTTATCCGTGTAATCTGCGCCTTCTGCGGATTCCTATTGGTTTAATGTATACGCGTCTTCTCACGCCTATCAGTCTGTCACATGATCCATTTCATCATAATCAAGAATATCGCTGGCGATAGTAGGCAGTTTTGTCTTGCTTCTGTCTTCACATCAAACGCTTTGATGAGTTTTCAGTTGTGAATTACTTTGTGTGCGGCGTAATCGTCCTATAGTTAGTGGATAACGTCATTTATTTCTAGTTAATTTCCATAGTTCAGCACTTAATTAAGCTACTTTTCAAACAGACACAGCAGCTTGTCACATAGTCATGAAACAGTGCACTGACGAAAATGCTATGGCACTAAGTAGAAATGTCATTTGCATACAACTGAAAATACGAGCGAGAAATAGACAAATAAAGTTGACAGTTTAGAAGAGACAGAAAGATTTCAGATTCCGGGTGTCCGAATTAGGGATACATAAAAGCTCTAACAGGTTTCCGACTGTTTAACGTCAACATTCAATACCAACTTACAGTAGCAACTAAAATTACCAAGCAGAAATTCTCCCTCTTATGCCTTTATAATACTGTGACATGTTTGAATGCTTTTTATAATACATCGGTGTCAAGATTCTGCTTTCTTGTTTGCTCAGGCATGTGAAAGTTGGGGACAAAGTTAGTCAGTTCGATCCAATATGCGATGTTCAAAGTGATAAAGCTACAGTGACAATATCCAGTAGATATGACGGAGTTATAGACAAACTCCACTTAAATCTTAATGAAGTGTGTAAAGTTGGACAACCACTGGTGGATATTGAGGTAAATAATGTAGTGAAAAGTTCAAGCTCAGCAAAAGTTGAATCATTGAATAAGCCAGTAGCATCAGTCAATACATTCAAAGCTGCAGGTGAAGCTGAACAATTCGAAAATAAACCATTCGTAGCAAGTAAACCCTTCAGTAGTGAACTTGATGTAAAAATGCAAAATATAACTTCTCAGTCAACGTGTTCTAACTTGAGCAGTAGTCGAATTTTAGCAACTCCCAGCGTTCGAAGAATTGCAAGGGAAAACATAGTATGTTGATGTCTGATTTTCATAAAATACTTTGCTGGAATCTGTTTTTCTTCACGAATTTAATTATAAAGTTATACTTACAGATTTCTTAACATTTTATACAGAACACATATTCGTGGCTAAGCATGCAGATAGCAGTTGTTTAATACTCTTCGATCTTTGAACTTTTATCGTGAACGCATCATCTCTTTATTAAAACATACTACTGAATATGTCTACGAAATATGAAACAGATTCAGATGAGTTGTGTGCATAAAAAATTCTAGCCAATAAACACTTGGCTTGCATGATTATTGTAAAAAAACATGTTAAAATATCTGTTTACCCCGAATACATTTCAGAAATAAGTAATTCTTACAACTCATTATAAGACAACTGGTAATATGGGATGGAAATTAAGTGACCGAGACAAAAATAAATCAAAAAAAAACTTTTAGCAGAAGTTTCTTAGCGACTATCAGTAGCCAAAACAAAAATTAAGGTTAGACCTTAGGAACAAGAATAACCAGGAGACAGAGGGATTAGTTTAATAAAGCCGGGTGGAAATATTCAGTATTTGATTATAACGAGAAACTGATCAAACAGTGATTACTATCACCATAAGTAGCTATCTAGGCAATCTATCATATCCAAACTGACTCAGACTGTGTTGACTTTATTACTAGTAACCGTTCTCTAATCTGATATTCCTCGTCAAGAAATTCGACGAGTAGATGCGCAATTTACCTCAGTCACCTCAATAGATTAAGATTCGGAGTTTCATCGACTGAGTTACCCTTGGTACCTAACACTCTACATCCAAGTACCACACTACTTGTCATGTTTCTCTAATGAACACGGGAAACCAGCGAAGGCAAATTACGTTTTCTATATGTCATTTACTCTTGTGGCCGCGTTTCTCAGCATTAAAGTAACAAACAGCAAACGGTTTGGGATTACACATACTGTGTATTGCTTTCATATACATCCAGCCAGCAACAAAGCCGACACATATTGACTAACACTCAACAAGCATTTTGCATCTATACTAATTTGTCTTCACCAATAATTCCATGGGGATCGAGAGAACTTCTGAAATGCTTACCTCATTTGACCGTCTAGACCAACTACTTAGCACGATTTAACATTCGTAAGGAAGTTTAGCAGTTTAGCATCTACATCCAAGTGAACTATATTCTGTGAGTATTTCTAGTCACTCGGCTATTTTCCCAATAATAACTGTGTCTGATAACTAAATATAGAACAGAAGGGGGTACACCAATTCATTTATAAAAAGATCGAAACAAAGTCTTTCACTGAATACCGCTTGAGCAAGTCACTGGTAATCGCTGACTAAGATAATGACTTCATGTAGATTCGTAAAAAGTTATGTTAGTTCAAAAAACCTCTTTGCTGAGTGTGACATCATTTCTATGCTTATTTTTTATCCATAAAAGTCTAGAGCCCTTATGAAAATATATTTCTACAATAAGGAATATTTTGTTACTTTAGCTGATGAATGCATCTAAGACTGTATGTAACTTAAGAATAGGCAAATATCCATTCATGATGTTGACAGACTGTAGACTGTTAATTCTATATTGAAGTATTTAAATGGAGTTAAAGTCAACATTCAAGGATGAGTCGTTACAACACTTGTTTTGACTGATGTTAACTTCATTACACATTATGCACGTATCTGTGTACAGATCTTCCTGAGTAACTTCTCAGTGAGAGTTAATACTCATATTCGTTGTACCATTTTATCTCATTAAGTCATATATATTAAGTATTGAAACTTGTTTTTCTTATGTTTGTTATGAATCTAGATTAATCTACATGATGTTTCTGGAAGTGGAAAGGATGGGCGTGTATTACATGAAGACATTCAAAGATATTTAGCTGGACAAAGTCAGTCAAAGTCTCAGTTGGAAACTGGTGCTCAGTCTGAACAAGGTCTTACGAACAAATATGATGACAAGATTATACCTCTCAACAGTAAGATATTCTTTTTCATACATTTGGTTCCCTTGATGAATTTCGATAAAGAAAGGAAGACGAAATTTGCAGTATAAAATGATATCATTCTATTTCACAGGTTATCATCATCTGCAGACTGCCTGAAATTACAATAGATATATAAATGATAATAACATACTTTAGTGTTTGAGTGGTAGTGTAGAAGAGATAAAATTGACGCACCCAAAATCAAAGCATTACAATTTTTAGTTTAAGTTTTCATCATCACTTTATACGCTTTCAAATTTGAATAGAGGGGGGAGAGGTAAGACAGAAAACAGAAAAAAATTGATTAACAGAACAGTGTTAGCTTGTAGGTTCACATAGCAACTCCAAAAACAAAGGTGGTTACAGTATATAAGATTAAGATTTGTTCGGTGAGTTGAGATCACTGAATTATATGACCAATTATTGTAATCAAATAATAATAATTCAATAATTAGTCATCTAATTCAGTGATCTCAGTGATCCTTTTCAGTTGTAAAACCTTTCATTATTAACCTCCCAATCTTTCTAATGGTCTAAATATCCATAGCTTACAGTATAAAAACTCTTCAGGTTTATGTTTTTGACCTAGTAAGGCAGTTTAAAGGAACATTTTCTATTTATCACACAATATGACGAAAGTATATGACAATCCTTCCATGAGGTGTATGAGTAAAAGACAATCTTCGGTAGCGTAGATTTAATATGTTTACATTGTAAAGTGTTAAGTACAGCCAACTAGTTTTGAAATTTAAAACCTTTCTGAATGCAGAGTATTAAATTTATTTTGTCTGTAAATTTCACTTATTGTGTGTTACGAAAATATTGATTGCATATTATTGCAACATTTGTCTTGTAGTTATACAATGCGTAATGAGAGACAAAATGACAGAATCTCAACTGATACCACATTTTGTTCTGTCCGAAGAGATAGACATGTCTAAACTGGTGGAATTTCGTCAGTCAATTAATGAAAAGCTTATAAAACTGAACAATATAAAGATAACATATTTGCCTTTCTTTATAAAAGTAAGTTTTAATTATGTTGAAAGTAATTGATGTAATAAGTAGGATTGATTCGTAAATGTCAAAGTTTAATTCAGTCAAATATAAAATCTTTCAAACAGAACAGTAATGAGTTCTTTCTTTTTATCTATAGGTATTATAAACACTCAATAAAATACATTTTTTCGGCTGTAAATCACATCTAACCTGAAATGCCTCCTTTAAATCATCACTAAATAGGCTTTCTAAAGGGAATTTACATTGACACGTATTGTTTAATAGTGATCTAAAGCATTAGAACTTTTATTCATTGTGTTTTTCTTTTTGATCAAGTCTAATGCCTTTAAGAAGTAGTTTAAGCTTCACTCTCTAAAACCACAATTTCAGAAACACAGCTTTTAATGGGTATTTACAAACAATACAATTTAATACTAGTAATACCGCCTTTATTTCAAACAATCACGGTGATATCGTAGCTAGTGTTCTCGTTGCATTACATGACGTAGAAATAATTGAAGAGGTTTTTATATTTATGATAATAATGAATGGATGAAGAAATTAAATAATTCTAAAGACAGCATGTGTAAAAATAGCAGTATATTAATGATAATAACAAAAGAATTAGGCATTTGTTTATTGTCATAAATCTAATTTAGTAATTTCATACCTAACACTTCTTTTTCGAATTTTTTCGAATGAGCGTAAAGCCTATTAAAATCACCACTTGTTTCATTGGAGAATACGGAAGGTGAGAGCTGCCGGTTCACGGTATTCTTCGTCACTGAATTATCAGGTACACAGTCTGACGACTCATTTAACAAGGTCTGAGAAGGCATATATATATATTTGATTAGAGCTTTATTCCACACCGTATTTTTCGGTAAAAGTATGGAATTTTCAGCGTGTGATATCGGTAGCCCAAATTCGCAGGCCGATCATAGATAACGGGTTTGTGTCGGCAGGTGATCGAACCCCGGACCATGTGCATGGTCGCCGAGAATCCTAACCACTGTGCCACCGACGCATATGATACAAATGTACCATTCTCAGATAACTAACACCATCTGAACTGCTGATAGTGATTTATCTAAATTAATACGTGTATAGGGAATTTTGATTCTATAGCAAGTCTTCATTAACTCTACAGATATTGTGCAAAGTGAGACTGCAGGCAAATATAAGTAACAGTATAACTAATTTTCTACTTATTCAAAATACTGATCAGTGATATTTTACCCATTAACTTTTTGTATTTGATACTCTAGGCTGCATCTTTTGCCTTGAATGAATTTCCAATATTAAACTCTCAGCTGGATGAGAAACATGAAAATATTATATATAAGGTTGGTTACCTATAGCACATTTGTAAAAGGATGTATCCACATTAGCGTTTCTGAACACAGACTGGAAAACTCATAATATCAGAAAGCTTTATTTCTTATCGTTAACAGTGAGGCCTAATATGTCCTGAGATTAATCTAGATATTTCATAAATTACATAGCGTAATTGTACACACCCATACTTAATTTTGTCAACTATTTTGTCAAAAATATCATCTCTTTTCAATTTGTTAAGTTTTTTTATGACTAGTGCTTCTCTTAAGGAAGCGCTTCCATGCACTGACTTGCTACACCATAATTCACAGAAGCCTGAAGGGAAGAAAGATATCTAAAGTTACCGCAATTAATCCCAGAACCACTGATAAGCGCTTTTATTTTACTAAAACAACAAGTTACTAGGAAAATATTACCGCATTAAAAAAATCCAAAGTAGGATGCAACACTTTAAAAGAAAGCTAGGTTAGTAATGTCATATTGAAAAGCTTTTGATGTGGTTTTGTTCTCTGAGCTGGATGGTTAGTTTGCGAAGCTTTCATCACCTTACTGGGTGACATCTTCAGCGCATACTTCAATTTGAAGTGAGCTTTTAGATTTCTCCACGAGTTTATTAATCATCTCTCCTGGTGACCTTGGATGTGATTGGTTGTTTGTGTGTGTTTTCACACCTTCTAGGTTACTTGCATTGGAACCGGTTGTTTCTTTGACTTGAACTTTGACCCTTTGTGTATGAAGTTTCTTTCTTATTGGTTGATAACTTTTGTCTATCTCGATGTGTCTATTGATTGATGACTCACTGGAATGCCAAGCTTCTAAAAATTCTCCAGCATTCTTGTTATTTCCTTTGTCTAATATTTGAACGTTGTCCCAGTCGAATTGATGTCCGTAGTTGTCTGTGTGTAGTGAAATGAGGGAGTGGATATCATGTCTTTTGACGGCTAGCTTATGTTCGTGGATACGAATACGAAGGGGACGTCCACTTTGGCCGATGTAGTGTTTTCCGCAGTTGTTACAGTTTATTTTGTAGATGATGTTGGTTTTGTCTTCTTTCGCTGTTGAGTCTTTTGGTTGACATAGAATTGAGTGCAGCGACTTTGTTGGTTTGTGTACGACGTCAATTCCTAAAGGTTTGAAGAGTCTTGTAGTGATTTCTGAGATATCTTTTATGTATGGTAAGGCAATTTTCTTTGTGCTTTCCTTGGTGGTTTTTGCTTTGGTAGGTTGGCTTGGGGGTATATGTATGTCTCTTGATGAAATTCCGTGGATATCCATTCTTTTGGAAGACGTCCATGAGATACTTTTCTTCAATTTTCCTTAAGGTGGGAGTGCTGCAGTGAGTCCTTGCTCTCTTGAATAGTGTTTGTATGCAATTCCTTTTGTGTGTTATTGGGTTGTTGCTGTTGTAATTCAGTATTTGGTCTGTGTGAGTTGATTTCCTATAAACTTGAGTTTCTAATTCTCCTGTAGTTGTTCGCCTGACTAAGACGTCCAAAAATGATATTTTGTTCTCGGATTCCTCTTCTCTTGTGAATTTGATGTCGTTGAAGACGACATCATATCATATGTTGAAAAGCATTACCGCTTATAGACATATCCTAGTGCTAAAAGCATCGGAAAAGAACAACAATCTCCACTCGACATTTTGATGAAAAAATATCAAAAATGTTCAAATTATAGGCGGTTTGAAAGTCTGATATATATACATGTATATATGTATGACTAGTTGGAATTATTTCTTAACTTTGCTTTATAAACTAAACAAGCTTTAAATCATGTATGAATAATTTATATTCAAATGTTGGTTTTCGGGGATTTGACTGACTGCAGGATTTCATCATGAGCTGACATACGTTAGAGAACCATTGGAAAACCTGTGAGGACAAGTACTCGCCCATAGCATTAGCTAGTGCCAGTCGCGCTATATCGTGAATTGGCAGAAGTTAGAATTCATGGGCTGACCAATGTTTAGGGTCCCTGTGGCTTAATGGTGTGCGAGCTCGCCTTGTAACAGGTAGACCCTGAGTTCGAACCTAGGTGATGGGTGCGTACTGCTGACGAGTCCCAAACTAGGAGTTTTCCAATGGTTCTCTAACCGATGTCACCTTATGATAGCATCCTTTGACCAATAATTGATATGTCAATTATTAAATTGTAACTTTAGAATATGGTAGAGGTGTTACATATGCGAAAACAAAATAAGTAGCAGATAGAATTTATGACTTAATATAATAGAAAAACTTCTCCTACACAGCAGATTTATAATTATAAATAAATTATCTAGGAAGAAAAGATTATTTATAATTTTGTTTAAAAGTCAATTAGAAATGCAGATCTTCAAACATACTCTTAGTCCATATGTCAACCGCTGTATTTACTGAAGTTTGAATAAAATGGATGGAAAACTGCTGGTGCATTTTTTGTTTTTCAAGCAAAACCACAATATTGGGATTGCAATGGATACGAAAAATGGACTGATTGTTCCAACAATAAAAAGTGTCCAGAACCTATCAATTGTACAGATTGCAGAGGAAATTAATCGTTTACAACAACTTGGGTTGGAGGGAAAGTTAAGCCTGACTGACCTTGAAGGAGGTACATTTACTCTTTCTAATATTGGCAGTGTAAGTAATAAATGCTTTCTGGTTTTAATGTTTTCTTCATTCGATGATCGTTATATTCACTAATGACTAAATGTTTATCTAAGTGATGTAATTGAAGCGTAATGCAATTTATCTTAATTTCGATCTCTCATACTCTCTCTCCCCTTATCTATTTGAACATGACCTGGAAAACATTCGCACGTGTCTTTCTGCACGATTAATTCAATGTAGTTTGTTTACTTATCAGTCTTATATCTCCCAATGTAATTTCAAAAGTATATCCGTGTATGTAGAGTATTCAGCTGACGAGTTCTACCGAAATTTGATGAATTCATTAAATCCTGCTTTATTAACCTTTACTGCTTGTTTTAAACCGGTGGATTGATGCATCAGAAGTCCAGTGAAAAACGCTTTAGTATTTGAAATGACGGCTATTGAATTTAAGCCTTATTAAAAATGTAATCATATCAGTATGCAATTATATCCAGCTGATGAGTTCAGCGTGAGAAGAGATCCGGGCCCTACATTCGACTGTTGAACACCATCTATCAGAATACACCGGCTATTCACTTCCTAAAGAACTTTAATGGACTAATAATAATAATTTTTGCTTTATTCCAAAAACAGTACTAATGATACAGCAAGGAATTGAGAAAAAATATAATGAAACATCACAATTATTAGGTCAGTTTTGATTTACAGAAAGTAGTAATAGTCGATTTTACTATAGGTAAAGACGGTTTTGTCTATGTAAATCTCTGGTTCTAATTTCTTATTATTTATTTTTTCTTTAGATTGGTGGTATGTTTACCGCACCGTGTATTGTGCCTCCACAAGTGGCTATTGGTGGTATAGGCAGGATTCAGGTGGGTCTAAGTGTTATCAAAAACAATTGAAGTTTCCTAAATTTTAATTCCAAGAACTCAGATTAATTTATCTATAATTAAAAGTTGCCGATAAGTGGAACTAAGATTTATCAGATAATAGTAATGTATCAGATAAAAAAGCATTGCTGTCTATCGTTACAGACTGTTTATGTATGTCTTTGTCAACTACTTTGCTTATTATTATTTTATCCTTTAAATCCTAGAGGAACATAGGGCTTCAGCCAAACGTCTCCATTGCCTTCGGTTTTCTGCCAACTTTTTCACCCCGCTCTAAATCTGCCCACACGCTTTCATCTCCTCTTCACATGACCTCTTCCAAGTCACCCTTGCACTGACGACCACTCGCTGCTTCCCTTTCGGGTTTCACTCGAGCAATGGCTTGTCTAGTGATGTCACTTGATGGTTTCCTCAGAGTATGGCCAATCCATCTCCATTTCTTCCTGCTTATTTGTCGCACAATTGGTTCCTACTGGGTTGGTTCGCTCATTGCCAGAGATCCCATCCTGTTGCTGATCTTTTCTGGCCGGCCATCTGATCTTGACTATTGAGCGAAGACAACTGTTGATGAAGGCCTGGAGTTTGTTTGAGATGCTCTTAACGACGACGCGCTGGCCAAGTCCCTGATCCGTATAGTAGCACTGACTGACTTCACATTGGAGTTGAAAATCCGGATCTTATTTTTATTGCTGAGTGCTGCTGAGTACTACTCTGCTTACTTCTCACAAACAACTGTCGCCAAAACAGTGTTTTCTTGGAAACCTAATGAAATTCTAGAGAGCAAGAGTATATGTTTGTATGTATATGTATGTTCATAAAACTAGCCTGAGTCATAACGGTTTCAGTGTGATGCCAGCATTATCTGAGTAATGCCGTTTCTCTACTTAGCTGAACAACCTACTCTTGAAATCCTGTCAGGCTGCAAACTTTTAATCTAGGCTTTTACCTACACAAAAATCACTGAAGTTTTCAAAATAAGTTAATAGCAGTAATATGGATTCTTGAAGTCCCGAATTTTATTTGACAATGAATTCTGTGACCTGGGTATATGATGATTCCCCTGAAGGCAGTAAATATGATTCCACAAACAGAAATAGTCTTATTCAACAGAGGCTGTCTCATAAACAATCTACTGTCTACGATAATGTCAAGGTGAAATTAAACATCTTGGAATTTATTTCACATTGTCACAGAAATTCTCATTGTTCTGGTTTTTCTACTCATGAAATTTTCAAAATATTTAGAGACTATTTTGCATAATCCTTATTCAGCAAATCTAGTACTCGCATTCTACACAATGATATGGAAGAAAACAATGTATTTTATTTTTAATACCACGTAATAGTCTGTAGTTAAATTCATGCAAAGAAGTAGCCAGTCAAGATTCATTGGACTGCCCAAACGTGGACACAGTGAGCTCTGGATTATTAGACAAGATCAGTATGTTCCTATCCACTTTATTTTCCTGTGCTATTAAAAAAATATGGCAATCGAGGTATTGTGCTCAATCCTGCGTTTCGAGGCGGTCTTTAACATTTGTCTACTGAAAAACAACTAAATAATGATATCAGAAGCTAGTCTTTATGTTGAAAACGTCGTAAAATTGTTCTCTAAAATGCAATATTCATAAAGTTGTTTTGTGCGGTCTTTCTCAGATATAGAAACAAAATGCTTACCACTATAAAGGTTAAGACGAGTCAGATAGCCATAGAATGTGTTATGATTTAGTTTATTTGGTGCAACACTGATTATCCAACAAAGAATATTCCTTTTCGTAACTTCTTGCTCAGGTTCTACAGCTATACATCCATATCATTTATTGAAAGTGGTTAGTTTGTTGTACTATTTGTTTATTTTTGATTACAGCTTGATTCCACACCGTATTTTTGGCACAAGTATGGAATTTTCAGCGTGGATATCGGTAGCCCAAATTTCGCAGGCCGACCATAGATATCAGGTGCGCGTCGGCGTGGGCTCGAACCCCGGACCATGTGCATGGTTGGCGAGAGTCCTAACCATTTGGCCACCGACGCACATGATACCTAAAAGCAATACTGAAGTTGACTGGAGATTATAGATAAAGATTTTGTTTCAAGTTCGGTCACAGATTGATATTACTTAGAGAACCATTGAAAACCACCATATGGTACTGGAGAGCTGTTTAGTTCTAGTTTGGGACTCTTCACAGTATGCACTCACTGGGTTTCGAACCTAGGAGCTTCCGGTTACAAGGCGTCTCAACAGCCTGTCCATGAATTCTAGCCTCAACCAATTGGCGGCACCACCAGCCAATGCACTCAGCAAATACAGGTTTAGATTTTTCATCTATCCTAATCTTATCTAAGCTTTATTGGAAACTTGGTTAAAACGTGGTCTAGAAGGTAAACATCGTACAGCACTTACCATTCATCTAATAAAGCGAAATTTTATTCCACTAATTTTTCAATTGTTACAAGTTTTATCACGGATACATGTCAGATGGAGAACCACCAACGTACTGGACAGCCGTTTCTTACTAGCTTGGAACGCTTTACCAGTACGCATGCATGAACCGACCGGAAATTGAACCCAGGACCTCAAAACTACGGAATGGATCAACCTGCCCACAATAATCCAATTCGCTGACCACTAATAAATATCTGTAATTTATTTCGCAAATAGTCTGTGCCATTATCTATTCTTTAGTAAAAAGACAAAATTTATTTTATGTCATTAATGACAGAAGCTACCGCGGTTTGACGAGAACAATAGAATCAAGGAAGCATACATTATGTGTGTCAGCTGGTCTGCCGATCATCGAATAATTGATGGCGCAACGATGACCCGTTTTTCAAACTTATGGAAAAGTCACCTAGAAGATCCATCTTCTTTAATGCTCCAACTAGTGCAAACACAATAAATTTATTCAGTCAGTTCTATTGAGGTTAAAGAGAAAGCCTAGGCTTAATGTCATTTTAAACAGATAAAATATATTTGCTTTCGACACATTGTCTTCTCTATACATAAATGTCTGTGGTAAGATCTATGGATTGATTAGTTCACTTTTAAACATACAATAAATAATTTTACTCATGCCTATCTGTGTATTCCTAATATCTAGTGAACTTTTTAGTTGATTCACTCCAATCGGCATCATGGTCTTTATGTTCAGAAGTATTCCATGCTAAAACATATTACAGAGACTGATTCCACACTTCACTTCTACTTCACAAGCCTACAAATATATGATTTCTACCCTGAGAGATTGTCAAACAAATTAAGCTATTTAGCTGCCACAGATGAAAGTAAACGGCGACAGAGATTTAAGGGTGTTCAGGTTATGAGCAACGGTCGACCTCCAACCCCTCAAAATGAGCTTTTTCAAAAGTAAAATTGATAAAACGTTTCTAAAATAATTGAGATATATAAAATGCGTGCAGTATTTATTTGTTTAATTTTCACTGATATGTTTATCACGTGCCGAAATTGAAAACAGAACGATGTGCATTGTTAAACGGCCTGTCAACCACTATGTAGGGTTTACCGAATATTCAAAACCACATCTAGACTCAGATTAATAAATTATATACTTCAGTGTTTGCAAGCAATTCGAAAAATCTTTCAAACATGAATAGCCCACCATTGTTGATGCTTGTTGATAAGGCATATTTGAGGTTCATTCACTGTCAAGTCGCGATGAAAATATTAGCCTGAACAAGTAAAAGGATAATGCCTAAAAGAACCAAACGGAACAAATAAAATCTTTGGAAGTACTTCCGATTAAATTATAGTTTGTAGGAACAAAAGTAGTTGTGGTAATTTCATGTAAAGTAGGAAGATTTTCTGCATAATGTTAGATTCCAGTCTTCCTTCAGTACACAACACACGGATATTTAAGCTATGAAATGTTTATTTTGTGTGCGATGAATTAATCAAAATATTTTACATGTATTCACTCACTGCCAAGTACACATGATCAGGCGGATGGTTAACCATCTATTGTGCTAGCTCATTATTTTGTTAACCATGATAGTTGATCATTATGGATGGTGCTATAGCTTATGTTAACTATGTAGCAGAATTAAGTAGCTCCTTTATTACTTCACGGAATTGGAACTAATTAATGATGGTATGAATATGGAAGGTTCGTCTTGACAAAATTTGTTTGCTTTGTCTTTAAGTATGTATGCTAATTTACATGTATCTGCTATGCCAGTTACACTGGGACAATAGAAATAGCGACACCCCCTCGAATTTCTGGATATGTACCAAAAAGCCCACTTCTCATGGGAACAAACTCATACAATAGTGCCACTGTCAAACAACTCGTGGATACGAAACATCAGATGGACTCCATAAAATCCTTTAAAATTATCAACATAAATTATAGTTAAAATCCCCTCATATTTGCCAAAGTGATTACTGTCAAACGCCTGAAACCCGGCCCTGTGTCCAGGGAAAAGCAGTTATCGATATTTCATTGCCATTTCTGTCTTTCGTTTGATTGCGTAATCACTTGCTTTAACCTTTTCCCCTTTATATAATACAATTCTGCTTGTCTTTTGTTTCTATGATCTCAGTTGAACTCGCCAAAGTGTCACTCAGCTTATTAGTTACTCATCATCGTATCCACGTCTTGACCTTATTACTCAACCTCTTTGCTACTGTATTCAAGTATCTATTTTTATTTAAACTAGAACCTTCTGTGCATAAGTCATATAAGTGTAATTTCTAAGCACTTTTTCGAAGTCTGAAACCTCTTGTCAGTTGGCATCATGCTACACACTAATAACTTAATAATTTCTTCAGTTTATATGCAACTGATGAAAATCCGACGAAACAGATATTAAGTGGTTGGAGGCAATCGGCAGGAAGCCTTCCACCTAGATTTCGCTCTAGTTGGCACTCATTAGTCAGTAAGGAGTATCTGCAGCCTTGAAGGAACTCATGTCCCTTCAGAGATTCAAACCCGTGTTACCCAGTGCTGCATAAGGGACCTTAGT